GAAATAAAATATGTGACCCTGGAGCACAAAACCAGTCTTGAGTCGCTGGGGTATATTTGTAGCAATAGCCAACAATACACTGTATGGGGTCACAATTATAGATTTTCCTTTTATGCCAAAAATCATTAGGATATTAAGTTAAGATCATGTTCCATGAAAATATTTTGTAAATTTCCTATCGCAAATATATTCAAACTTAATTTTTGATTAGTAATATGCATTGCTAAGAACTTCATTTGGACAACTTTAAAGGCGATTTTCTCAATATTTAGATTTTTTTGCACCCTCAGATTCCAGATTTTCAAATAGTTGCCAAATATTGTCCTATCCTAACAAACCATACATCAATGGAAAGCTTATTTATTCAGTTTTCAGATAAGGTATACATCTCAATTTTGAAAAATTGACACTTAAGACCACATATTGGTCACATATTGGCAAACTGGCCACCTGGCTCTCTCTGTATTGGTATTAGCTGACCTCCAGCGGATGTTTTATGTTCCAGGATGTTGCAGGAAGATCCTGTTCTATTCCAACTCTATAAGGACTTAGTAGTGAGTCAGGTGATCAGTGCTGAGGAATTCTGGGCCAATCGGCTGAGCCTGAATTCTGTGGAGCACTCCCTCTCCAACAACAACAAACAGGAAGTGGGCATTTCTGCTGCCTTCCTGGTGAGTTCAAATACATCATGAGACGGACAGTTTATTGAAAGCACTTACAATGTAAACTCACCCCGTGATCATGTTGTCACCGTGGTTACAGGCCGACATCAGACCGCAGACAGATGGCTGCAACGGCCTGCGCTACAATCTGACCACAGACATCATCGAGTCGATCTTCAGAACTTACCCTACAGGTGAGAAATGTGATTATGATCTTACTCAAACTACCACTATAATCGTTCAAAATGGGTCTGTTCCAAACCCTAGTGTGCTGCCTTGTTGTCTACTGTCAGTCTTCTTCTAAGGTGGCACCCTAACTGATATGTATCCTCATAAGTGACAGATTTAGAAGAATCTACATAGGCAGCAACTTGCATATAAACTGTCGGATTCACGATTGATCATGATATGTTTTGGCACTAGCATTTGGCTAAGCTCACTGTGTGATACTCTATTAAGCATAAAAAGACATAATGCTTGTTATTGATAACTTTCTGTATTGAAAGAATGACTTTTCTCTCCCTTAATCGAGCATCTTGTTACATTGCTTTCTGAATGGAAGCCCATTTCCACCATTTAAAAACCATATATAACAGTCATTCTTAGGTAAATCATAAATATCAGATAAAAATTCATAAATATGACATAAATGTTGTAGTTTTTTTGTCATCGTTTTTTGTTGTTTCATAGTTTCAACTTTTTATGTCATAATTACTTTCTATCTCATAATTATGACTTTTTATGTCATAATTTTGCCTTTTTTTTTATAATTCTGTCGGTCATAATTATGACTTTTATATAAAAATTTTGACTTTTTAACTCTTAATTTTATTTATTTTTTTATCTCATAATTGTCCTGATTTTGACTTTTATTATTATTGCTTTTATTAACTTTTAATCTCATAATTTATTTCACAATTTCAATTTTCATGTCATAATTATGATTTATCTCATAATTTCATTTTATGTCATAATGATTTTTTATCTCATAAATTTTATTTTTTATTTTTTTTCGAGTTTTTATATTTAATCTTAAAAAAATTGATTTATCTCATAATTTCATTTTATGTCATAATGATTTTTTATCTCATAAATTTTATTTTTTATTTTTTTAGAGTTTTTATATTTAATCTTAAAAAAAATTTATCTCATAATTTTTTTTGTTTCATAATTTTAACCTTTGTTATAATTATGATTTGTTTAACTAGTATCTCATAATTTCTATGGCTTAGTAAGTCATAATTTAATATGACCTTTATTTAATAACTATGACTTTTAACACTGATAATTATGATCTACCAAATTGTTCTCTTACGTTGCAGAAATGTATAATTCTGGTATTGTCTTCTCCACAGAGAATACATGTAATGTTGTTCGTATTTGACCAAAAGATGGTCAGATCAATCATAACAAGGGTCATTTACATTTAGTAGTCTTAAAGGTACAGTACCCTGTTTTAGGTCACAAAAAATGGTCTTAATGGTTTTAGGTGATGAAACACTTAGTGTGCTTTGTGCAAGAAACACTGACTGATATTATAAGGACAAATCAAATGCTCTAAAAGTATTGAATATGAGCCTTTTCTGCTCACAGTCAAGCAGAAATACGCTGAGAATGTTCCTCACAACATGACGGAGAAGGAGTTCTGGACGCGGTTCTTTCAGTCTCATTACTTCCACAGAGACCGGATCAACACAGGCCTGCAGGACATCTTCTCAGAGTGTGCCAAAGAGGACGAGAAGGGTACTGCATTTTATGAAGTCTTTATTTAATGTTTTGAGATCTTATGAACTCTGAAGGAGTCTTCCATGCACTATTGACTTCAGCTGACCATGTTTAATGGCTCTTATGTGTCTTTCTGTTCTGATGGAGTTTGTTTCTTCGCATTTTTCAGGCCTGAAATCAATGGTGACCCAGGGAGTGAAGAACCCCATGGTGGATCTGCTTTCTCTCGAGGATAAAACATTAGATGAGGTGAGGGCTGTTAAACTTTGAATCACACTTCCTCTGCGTATTGAATGGTTTGTTGACACTGGATGTCTCTGTGTCTCTGAAGGGTTACGGCACAGCTACAGTTCCCACTACATCAAACTCATCAAACAAATCACTCAGAGAGAACAGCAACTCTGCCATAATCAAACGCTTCAACCACCACAGTGCCATGGTGCTGGCGGCCGGCCTACGCAAAGCGTAAGTGTGTGAACAGCGGAGTGTGTGTGTGTTTGAGTTTGCATGTGTCACAGATATAACAAAGCATACACCCCTTTAGATGTAACAGAATCACTGTAGCTTTATGAATAATAATTATAATGTCGATATTGAAAAATATAGAAAAAATATTAAACCTAATTTAGATATATATAT